TGAGGGGGCTTTGCAGAGCTCGTAACGTGACATCTCACGGAGAACTGCCCGGACCACCCCTGCCCTGTCCATCACCAGAAGCACTAGTGTCTCATTACAGAGATTTCACACGGGGAAAAAGGAAGATAATCCACATTTTTAACACCTGCTGGAATTATCCTCTGTCTTATCGGAGCTGCTCAGCCTGTTGAGCAGAATAACTATGAACCCTGGCTGGCTGCAGGCCTCTCCTTTGCTCAGCGCACACGCTGCTGGATGTCAGGGGGGAAAAGGAAAGCTCTTCCTTCAGGAACCACCCAACCCCAGACCCGTCCGCTATTGGGCAGCCTGCTCTTCCAAACCCGGCCGAAGGAGAACTTGCAGGGTGAGAAGGGGTGGATTTTAGCCAACAGACTGCTACAGCTTGTAGTTTCCTACGCAGACCTGCAACACCCGGTATTTTGAACGAGGTCACTGCTCCTTACCTTGCTCTGCCAAGCCGGGCTTCTCCAGATCTCCATTGACACAGGGCTTGCTTTCCAGCCCGTCCTTCAGGACGGGAGGGTCGCTGTTCGGTTTCAGAAGGATGTTGCTGAAAGTAGGAGCCAAGCGAAAGCAGCGTTTGGTCTGAAACAGCTGCGTGGACATGGCCTGGAGATTGCTGGCTATGCTGGCGTCATTAGTGCTCAGGGAAGCCGGCCCATTGACTGCTGGATCCAGAGCCTCCATTTTAGAGATGCTCTGGCTCTTGGAGTCCCCCATCCCACTGCCATCCACACAGTTTAAGGCCTCTTTGGGCCCGCTTTTGCCTCGGCCGCTTCCCTCCTCCCCCGGCTCATCCTCCATGTCCTCCAAGTCGGACCGAGATTCTTGGCTGTTCATGTCAGAGTCCGTCTCCACATCAAAAGCAGCTTCTGCTTCCTCGTCGCTCTTCTCTGAGCCACTCTCTGAGCCGTCACTGCCCTTTATGGAGCCCTGGCTGGAGTCAGAGTCAAAGCCCTCGCTCAGGTCGCTCTCGTCCACCTTCTGGGGGTGGCGGCGGCGACGCAAACAGGAGAGGCGGGAGTATTTCTTGCTTTTCTTGCAGTCATTCTTCCGTTGCTCCTCGCTGGGCTGATGATTGGCCAAGTCAGCTTCAGCCTCCTTCTCAATCAACGCCTCCCGCGGCTCCTGGTCATCTGCAGGCAGTTAGAACGAGACCACAAGTTAAGAAAGTCCCGACGTGTCACACAAGCTGCTGGCCAGCCCTAAGCCTGGGGAACCAGGAGTGCAAGTGGCAGCCATCACTTTTATTACTGTCTTTAAGCAGAGGACAAGTCATGGCAACCCTAGAAGAAGGACTCGCTTGCTAAAAGGCACCCAGAAAGACTTGGGAAGCCTGGATTCCTCCTGCCCAAGCCGTGCTGCTCCGTTATCAGGCAGCCTCAGTGCTGAATGCTGTTAGACCAGCACAAACCAGGCAGCTGAATCTTACATCTTTTCCCCAGGTTCCGACAGTCCGAGAGCCGAATGAGCCGCCAAGGAGGGCGAGGGCAGGTGCCGGGCAGCTTGATCAAACCAGCCACCCCACCCTGTCACCAGACCGAGCTGACCCAAGCCCTTCCTTAACCGACGCGCTCACGGCCTTTCCAGCAGCCGTGACAACTCCCAAAGCCGTGCAGGGGAGGAGTCACCGTCCACTGCTGCTTTTGACCGGGAAAACTCTCGTCTTGCCTTCTGTGAAATATCACAAATTTCCTCTGTATCACAACTTCCCTGTGTTTGCAGAGGAAAGACTCAGCAGTTTCATTCTCTGCTCAACGGAAGGTGAAGATCTGGTTTTGTCTGAGCAGAGATGAGGGATGCTGAGCAGGGCCGGCCTCCCTTAGCCACTGCTCTGCCCAGGGTTTCACCCGAGATCATCTCCCCAGTTGAAGAGAAGAGTCCAGTAAATAACAGCACGTAAGAGACAGAAAAGCAGCGCACATTGGCGGAAACAGATGATGAATGAGCTGCCAAGAGATACTGGAAGAGAATTCCTTCCAACAAGGAGAGCAGCATTTTCACCCTGGGATGATTCTGAGTGTCTACGCGGAGGCTGTCTCAGCAGATGACCCACCTCTGGGGATTTCAGCCCAGCAGTTGAGGCCCACGATGTCTCTACCACCCCTTGGGCACTACACTACAAACCCCACAGCCGGGGGATTCAGGAGAGAAAAGGAAAAGCCAGCCCCACAGGCAGGGAACTGGGGAGACCCAGCTCATGCCGGCTGTTCTCTTACCTGTGCCGTCGCTCTGAAAGGCCGGGACGGGATTTTCCCCTTCTTCTAGCTCCGCCTGGAGGCGAATATTGACGTGATTTATCAGGTGAGAGAAGAGGGCCAGCGTGAAAGCGATGGCTGCACTGTACTGCTTTGAACCTGCAACAAGAGGGCGCGATGAGGTGGAGGAGCCTGACCCCCAGTCCGACACACGCAGGCCAATCCAGACAACGTCTTCAGCCTAACTGGACTGCTGGATGTTTATCACCAGATTTCTGAATAAAGCACTGGTTACCTGCCCTCTTGAGGCTGTGAACACTCATAAGGCAGATGATCACCATGCGAAAGATCAGGAGATCAGGAAGGAAGGAGTAGCCGCTCTCATACTCTTCTTCGTCTTCGCTAGTTGAGCTCAGATTAGGAGGAGAGGGCAGGTAGAACAAGCACAGGTTGAAATCCTCCAGCACAGACTGGCAGAGGGATGTCAGCTCCGAATCCAGAGAGCTTAACAAGAGGAAAAAAACAAGCATTATCATTATTATCATTATTCAAGACTCAAGCTGCTGGCAATGTCTGCGTGGAAACCGAACCAAAACCAGCAGCCAGGCTGTCCCTTAGCACTAGACAGGGTGAAGCACCAGGGAACACGCTGTAGGCAACAACAGCTCTGGGAAGCGAGTGAGATTAATCAGATCATGTTTTCCTCTCCCAAGCTGCTAAACGAAAGACACGGGATAACTGCAGCACCTCCCTGCAAAGAGGTGCCTCACCCAAACGTACGACGTTCCCCCGGGAGCTCAGGAGCAGCCGTTAAGAGACCCCGGGCACCGGAATGCTAAAAGCAGCACAAGTTTCAGACCCCGTTAAAACCACAACATTGCAGCGCACAAACTGGGGACTCGACTTTTCCCCCCCTCCCATGTCTCTAACCTGCAGCCCTGCAAGAATATTCCAAACTCCTCTGTAGCTACGAGCTGCTTCAAAGGAAGCACCCACGGCGTTCAGCATAACGGGCTACGGGAGTATCCTCCTTACAAAACAGACCTGTCTGCAAAACATCCAGCAAATCCCTTCCAGGGGGCAACGTGCTTGGGAAATGGAAGTCATTTCCAGTTTTCTTATGTGCTAAATGCGTGTTAAGCAGATACTAAATGAGCCCTGAAGTTCCACTCCAGTCTAAGTCAGTATCTGAAAGTTAATCCCATACCGGGCTGCGTTAGCAAAGGCACAGCCAGCACGTTGAGGACAATTGTTGTCCCTCTCTCACGAGGGGATGTCTGGAGTCCTGCATCCAGTCTCGGGGTCCCCAGGACAAAAAAAAAACCAACCAAAGACGACACGGACGAACTGGACTTAGTTCCAGCAGAGGGAAATAGCGAACAAGGTGTATGAGGAGAGGCAAAGGGAATCGAGTTTGTTCAGCCTGAAAGACAGAAGGCTTGGGGGGTGTAATCTCCTGTTTTCCGACGCCACGCAGGTAGTTACAGAGGACTGAGGGAGACTCCTCAGTGGTGCACGGCAAAAGGAAGGGAAGCGACGGCTACACGCTGCAGAAAAGGAAAACGAGACTAGATACAAGGGGGGAAAAAAAAATTTCCACAGCAAAGGTGGTCAAGCCCTGGGAGGGCGACCAGAGACGTGTGGAATCTCTGTCCTTCGATCCATTCCACACGCAGCTGGACGAGGCTCTGAGCAACCTCATCTGAATTCACGTTTGAATCTACCTTCACAGCGGACCCTGCTTTGGGGGAGGACTGGACCCCTAGAAGGTCGCTTCCAACCTAAACTAGTCCGTGAGGGGTTTAACCGTAGCCTGTGTACAAGCCCTTCAAAACACCTGCTCCGTTTCAAGCAGCAAGAGGTTAATTTACCACCTCTTGCAAACCTGCCAGCAGAGACAGAGAAAACCCAAGGAGAAAAAAAAGATCCCAGAGCTGTACAAAGCTTTCCATTTATCCCACCACCAACAGGTGATGCTATTTGTTTCCCTGAACAAGGTGTTTGGTTACAGATTTCCGAGCGCAACGAACAGCCCTGCACACGCGCAGGCTCTTTGCTCTCCCCTCAGCCTAAATCCAGCGCCCGCCAGAAAACAGCGTTTGATGGCTGAACAAAGCCAGAACGCGCCAAAGGCGTAGCGCAGCAGAGAGCTGAGCTGCAAGGCTGAGGAGTTCAACATTCAGCTACCGGCTTGATTTAGCCAGAGTCGTGAAGTATTTAACCCTTTGGAATTTCAGCCTCCCTTGGAACACAACCTTCTTTGCCCTGCGAGGTTGGAAGACTAAAATCTTGGGCCTTTTGGCAGAAAACCTCAGCACAGGCAGCGTTATCCTACAGGGAACAGTCTCTTCCAACTCTGAATGCCTGCTGCTATGAGTTATCAATAGAAGACAGAATCTGCTGTAACCTTACCTGCTCTTTGGCTGCAAAAGACTCTGCAGGTACATAAAGCTCACCAGCAACCTCTTAATGTCTTTGCCTCTAAAAAAAATTGAGAAGAAAACACTGTGAAGCAGGTACCCCGTCACAGAGGTGGGCTAGACTAACAGAGCTCCATCAATAGGGAAATCAGGCCTCAATTGAAAACGAAGTTCTGATAAAACTGGAGGAAAAAAAAAAAAGAAGACAGCTTATACACTTCCAAACTTTCACCAATACGCCTCAACCCTCATGGACAGTCAGCAGCTCCAGGGGAGAGGGAGAAAAATCTCTCACCTCCAATTCCACACCTCGCCAGCATTTAGCTTTTCCCCTGAAATTGCGACCTGAGAGACCAAGAACGGGATCTAGACCGGGGCTCTCGCAATTCGGGGAACAGCCCCCTGCCTCGAATCGGCCGTCTAACAGCTCCCACTTCCCAGAGAGACACCGCTCTCAACCCAGAGGCCGGCACTGGTGGCATGGCGAACCCTCAGCCTGCACCCCTCGCCTTTGCTTTCCCCTCTCACCTTTTCTTGCTCGGAGACAACTTCCTGGTTTCACATTTCTTCAGCTGGTGATACATCTTGGCTGCTTTGTCATACAGCCGCTTCAGGTTCCCGTAGGCACCTTCAAAGGACACTTCAGACTGGATACTGAGACACCAAAGTAGGACACATCCAAAGTTACTTTGCCACAAGGTTGCTCAGGTTTTATGGCTCACTACAAAGTTACCGAGGCACCTAAGCACGCAGACAGGTACCTACTGCTTCTGTTCCAACACGCTGGGCTACTTAACTCCCACCGATGGCCGCAAACCCCACTTCAAGGTGCACCACAGCCCCCTCTGCGACGTTAACGCACCTTTCCACATTTGTGCCTTAAGGCCACGTTCAGGTAACAACTGAATCCCACCCACCTCGCTCAGCACCTTCACTCCCCTTCAAGCCCGGCGCTCTGCCACAGCCAGAGGGTCTCAGAGGAAACCCTGCCCTCCCACTGCAGCCCTGCGCACGTGTCTTAGTGCCCAGCATCACCGTTTGCCTCTTCCTTATCACCAGCCTCGCTCGAGGGTGAAATAAACCCACCTCCCTTCCCCTAAAACTCACCCGCTGACAGCAGCCACAAGTCCAAAGCAAAGGAGAAAAGAATCTGGCACCGGCAACCACGGTGCACCGATTCCCCGCGCAGGACGCCGAGATCCTCGCGGACACTCACCAGCGTAAGTAGCAATAGGTGGCTTCCACGTTGTAGTACTTGCTCCCCGCCAGCGTCCCCAGCTGGTTGAAGGGCATGCCTGGCACGGGAGAGAACAGCGGCAGAATTCACGTACCATTCCCCAACGGCCCTGCTAGAAAGCAGCTCCTTTCCCTCTCGCTCTACTTCCACCCAGGAGGGAAGGGAGGAGACGCAAACAGTGGCAAAGCTGCAGCACAAAGGTCCGGATTACTCGATCCTTTCACCACCCAGGGTTGGGTTTTTTTCTGTTTTAGAGTGGTTTTTGAGCCTCCCCACCTCCCTGCCAGTTACCTACATAACAAAGCAGAGCAAACAGTGCCTTGTCCTCCGTATTAATAACGCCACGGCCTCGACTCTGCATTCCTCGACACAGGCATCACCTGACCAGCGTTTAAGAGCTCTGTTCCAGCTCACTGTGGTACATAAATTTTTGTCACTTACTGGTCTTTGGGATCAACCTATCAAACAAGTCAGTGAGAACACCCCAAAGACAGCACAGAGAAAAGTTTCTTCTGGAATTGCACACTTGAAGAGAGGACAGGCCCTCAGCTCTTGCCACAAGGTGTTCTCACACGGCAGTCGCTTCTGAAGGATGTCCTGGGTTTGGCTGGGACAGAGTTAATTTTCTTCCAAGCAGCTGGTGCAGTGCTGCATTTTGGATTTAGAACCACGGAACGGCAGGGGTTGGAAGGAACCTCTGGAAATCATCTAGTCCAACCCCCTGCCAGAGCAGGGTCCCCCACAGCAGGTCACCCAGGACAGCGTCCAGGCGGGGTTTGAGTATCTCCAGGCAAGGAGACTCCACACCCCCCCCGGCAGCCTGTCCCAGGGCTCTGCCACCCTCAGAGCAGAGAAGTTTTTCCTCACCTTGAGGCAGAACTTCCCGTGCTCCAGTTTGTGCCCGTTGCCCCCTGTCCTGTCACTGGGCACCACCAAGAAGAGCCTGGCCCCATCCTCGGGACACCCACCCTTCAGATACTGATGAGTGTTGATCAGGTCCCCTCTCGGTCTTCTCTTCTCCAGGCTAAAGAGCCCCAGGACTCTCAGCCTCTCCTCGCAGGGGAGATGCTCCAGCCCCCTCCTCATCTTTGTAGCCCTCCACTGGACTCTCCCCAGTAGCTCCCTGCCCCTCTTGAACTGGGGGGCCCAGAACTGGACACAGCACTCCAGGGGTGGCCTCGCCAGGGCAGAGCAGAGGGGCAGAAGAACCTCCCTCCGCCTCCTGGCTTCTTCATGCCCCCCAGGGGAGACCACTGGCCTTCTTGGCCACAAGGGC